GAAAAAGCCCTCTGTTATTTCAATTTTCTTTCTTTCCAAATAATGCAATTGCTGTGTAGACGCTAGTATTGTTTTTCCAGAGTAATGGCCATTATTCTAAAATAACAGCACAGTGTAGATGCACCCTTAAAGACATAGACTTTCCTATCCATCCACATTGTTATAAATGTTATCCAGCCTCTCATAATCTTTCATCTCAAATACTGCAACTTTCTTTTCTCTGGACTTGATATTGTCATGTTACCCTACTCATATCCATTCAAAATACTACTTTAAAGATAATTTTTTCTTGCCCTCTTTTTGCAGCCTCCATTGGTTCCCGCCTTCTCAGTTGCATCAAATATAAACTGTGTGTCATCACTTTCACAGCCTATCCTCCGCCCCCCAACATATCAATTCTCTTTCACTACTGAGCACCATTGGGTTTTCTCCCATATTTTCTCCCTCCCCTCTTGCTAGGAAGGAGCTCCCAATAAGCATCTGAAAAACTACTGTATTATCCTTCTTCACAGCCCTCCTTAGAATTCTTCTTTTCTCCTTCAAAAACACAGTTAAGCAACAGAGGTATGGAGATACCACTGCCAATCATGCTGACCAATATTCTCTCACTGTATCCTTATACTCCCCCATGGACCACCTGCTGTTTCTTGTTTTATACAGACTGTAACTCTTCTAGGGTATGTCTACACTACCCTCCTAGTTCGAACTAGGAGGGTAGTGTAGACATACCCATATAGATCATGTGTGGGCCTGTATACTGTGCCATTTTTAAAACCCCGCTGGTTCGAACCCCGTGCAGCACGGCTACACGGGTCACGAACTAGGCAGCATCCCCACAGTGGGAGGCCAATGGGAGCAAATACTCCTGTTGGCTTCCCTTACTCCTTGCAAGAGTAAGAGCACCAGATGCCGGCGGGGGCACCCTCTGAGTTAGATTCGCTAAATCAAACTCTGGAAGATCAATCTTGGCAGCATCAATCTTCCACATAGTGAAGACAGGGCGTAAATATCTTTGGAGTTACTATATTAAACCATGCATACAGAATTATAAACGAATAAGTATATAGTTCCTTTAATAAATTAAGCAACTTGTGACTGTATAGTTATTGTATTAAAATGAGGTTCATTACCATAGCTTTCTTGTAACGTCACTAGGTTTTACACATTTTTCTAAGTAGGCAGGTCTACTGGATTATTCCTTTAAGAAGATTCTTTTAATGAAAGACACTTAATTTTCTTCCTGAATCGTTTACAATAACTGACAGAACTACTGATAAGCATCATGATTACCCACTAAATATGGCTCTTTAAATATCTTAAAACTTTTGTTGATACATTTTTGCCTCTCAGACTCTTATTTAGATTATTTAGGTTGTTCACAGTTTTGCTGAAGAACAATAAACCTTTCTCATACAGAATATAATTATGCCTTCCTCTTCTGTGAATTTCTGTTAATTATGTAATGAGTATTTAAAGATTAATAAGAAAGATATTCTGAACTACCTGCCTTTTATCTGTTAAAACAGAATAAGTGCTTGGATATTTAGGGCCTATTTAGCTATTTTACACACAAGAGAGCTGCATCTTACTGGGGACATTTTGCACTACAGGTTAGACCTCCCTGTTCCAGCACTCTTGGTACCTGACTGGACCCAAACCAGGGAGTTTTCTGGACCAGGGGAGGTCAACAGTGGCCCCTCTGCTGCCAGCTTCAGGGCTCTCGCCTAGTTACTGGGCTCTTCTGTTGGCTGCTGGTCCCCCCTTGCTGCCTGCCCTCCCATGCTGCTGGCCTAGCTGCACTCTCCCCTGGCCGGGCTCCCAGCCACTGGCCCTCCTGCCACCAGTCATCACGATCCAGGCTGCCAGGGATCTCTGGTCCAGGAACAGAGAGTCCTGGATTAGAGAGGTCCAACTTGTCCATAAAGTGCACGTGCTTGTGCCCAAATAATAACTTCTTCAACATATATGAAATTAAACAGTTTGAAAAAAAAAACAAACCACCAAGCATTTCTAAAGCTATCAAAAGGAACATGTTTAGACTATAAACGATGGACTGTCAAATAGATAAGATGAAAAGGCTGCCAACTTTTAGGGCCTGTTCCTCTCCCCCTTACTCTCCCTGGGTGTGTCTAGACTACAGGTTTTTTTTTGAAAAAACGTCCTCTGTGTCTATACTGCTGCTGCATTCTTTCAAAAATCAGAGGGGTAGCCGTGTTAGTCTGAATCTGCAAAAGCGACGAGGGGTCCTGTGGCACCTTATAGACTAACTGAAGTGTAGGAGCATAAGCTTTCGTGGGCAAAGACCCACTTTCGTCTTTGCCCACGAAAGCTTATGCTCCTACACTTCAGTTAGTCTATAAGGTGCCACAGGACTCCTCGTCACTTTTGCATTCTTTCAAAAGTAAATCGAAAGAATGCAGCAGTTTTTTCGACCACAGAAAACCTTGTTTTACAAGGAAGAACGCCTTTTTTCGAAAGAGCTCTTTCAAAAAAAGGCGCTATGTAATGCAAACTGCTTTTTTGAAAGAGAGCATCCAGACTGCCTGGGTGCTCTCTTTTGAAAAAGCGGCTTGCTTTTTCGAAAGTACTAGTTGTAGTCTAAGCGCTCTTTTTCAAAAGCCTCTTTCGAAAGAAGCTTGCAGTCTAGACGTAGCCCTTGTGTTTAAGGACTGTAGAATTAGGCTGTAATTAAAAGCGGTACTGTGCTGTGGAAAATTAACTGCCACATCACACAGAAATAATGAGAGCTATTAATGATTTAATGTATCATCTTTTATAACACTGACAAAGCATCTCATCAGCTCAACTTTGCTGCACCCATTCTCTTCCTTGCAAAACAATGTCATATCATGAGATCATATCAGAAAGTGATCTGGAATTTCAATAGGATATACTGCAAAGCAAATGTACATCCTCACATACATATACTATAGTTACTCAGAGGTAAATATCACATACTAATTTTCACATCTAATTTTACAGAATTAAAATTTCACATCTAATTTTACATTAAAGAATGTTGGTGGTGAGTGATATGAATTGTCATACTTGCCATTATTTTCATGTTGCTTTCAAAGTACAGAAAAAGAATGGTGATTAGGACTATACGTGAAACAAGACTCCAACTGGTAACACACAGATCAAAATGACAAAGTGCAAGTGACTTCCCCCTGTTGATTTACTTGTTTCATGATTTTTCTTCTTATGCATCCAGCAGTTCTGGAACTCAATTGATTGGGGAGCTAAACACCATCCTTCATATCTCCAAACAAAGCCAGAGAGTATCTTTGCAAACTGGATGCATGTTGCAGTCTTAACTAAGGGCTAAGACACCACCAGCCTATTGCAACTGATTTTGATGTGCAAAGCTTTCCTTATCTTGCACTCTACTATGGAGAACAACAGAGAACAATGCATCTCTGGGGGTGAGCAGATGGGAAGCTGCACATACAGAATGCATAAAAATGCTGCATAAAGTCAGACAATCACAATAGGTTATTATGGCACTCATTACTGTAACTCCCAGAATGACATACAGAAAACACTGCCATCTGATGCAGAAAGTAGCCATGTGTTGGGATCAAAGAAGGAATATGTCCACAGAATTTTCAATGTTAAGTGAAATCAAGGAATAAAGCTGGTTTGGAAGAAATCCAATCTGTCCAATTACTTAGGTTCAGTGTAGTCTTTGTCACCTGTCCTGGAAATTCAATTTAGTCATGTACATAGCAGGATGGAGAACGGGTGGGCAATAATTTTTGCAGGAGTGCCACTACATTAATTTTGGACAGAAAGAGTATTGAACCTCTTAAAAGTATTGTACCATTGTGTAGTACAGTTACATTCCATTCCCCAGGAGAATCTATGATTTAAGATTATTTTAATGTCTGTATATATGCAACACAAATATGACATGCTAAACAGGATAAGCTCCTAAACAGAACTGCCTTTTCCTTTTTCCATTTAGTAATCCTGTATCTTGAGAAACCACTAGATATTCCAATGTATGCATGTCAGGTTTTATGATTTTAGTTAAGGAAAAACCTAAAAAAAATATTTTGGATTATAAGACTTAGCCAGCATTGCCTAGGTCCTTCAGGGCAGGGTGCACGTTGTGTGGGGGTGAAGGAGTCAGGGCAGGGCCTTGGAGATGGGCTATAGGACAGGAGATTAGGAAAATGGGGGCGTGAGAATGAGAGTTGGGGTATGTCTACACTACCCCGCTAGTTCGAACTAGCGGGGTAGTGTAGACATACCCTGAGTGAGAAAGACTCAGTATGAGACAGATTCTGTAGCACACAGATGGGAAAGCGTGTGGCCGTGTGTGTGTGACAGAGACTCTGTGTGTGTGTCATAGAGACAGCGTGGCACAAACTGGGTGTGCATGAGTGACACAGAGTGTGTGTACTGGCTGCTGCTGAGTAAGTTTCTAAGAGAAACTATGCACTGTCTCTGAGACAGGGAAAGCTCTCCTGCTCTGTAGTCTCCCCTTTCCCACACTCTGCAGAGATTAGGTGTGTGGGGAAGAATGTGAGAGAGGGAGAGAGAGCACTGAAATCCTAGAAGCAGTGCACTACCTCTTAAGACAGGCACTTACCATCCATGCTTCAGATTAGAGAAACTCTGCTGTGTCTCTCACCCCCAACCCCTGCTCTGCCAAGATGAGGTACAGGAGTAAGGAGACACTCTGACTTCAGCACTACCCTCTCCTCTCCTCTCATCCCCTCTTCACCTGCTCTGCATAGCTAGCAGGTGAATCCTGGGAGGCAGCTTAGCTGTAGAAAGATACAAATGGGGATGAGGAGCAGCTAAATACACGCTGCCAGCTATAAGTATGCATGTTCTGATAATGAGTTGGGCGGGCCAGAAAGAAATGCTTAGCAGGCTGGATCTGGCCCTCAGGCCTGATTTTGCCCATCCCCGATGTAGAACATAACAACAAATACAACACAAAACAATTAATGAGAAAAGGAAGGGAAGAAAAATACAGAGAAACTCACAGCAATTATGTTGAAAAAATCATCATCTCCAAGGGTATCCAAAATAGATGATACTGTTTGCTTAGCAATTGTCAGACGGAGTCCTTTCATGCTGCCACTGACATCAACTAAAATGACCACATCTTTTGGAGAAGTAGCGGCCTGTATGTACCTAGATCAAAAGGCAAATTGCAGACTGATCTTATATGTTTTTATATTTCATAAAATTACATTGGTGGTTGATAGTTACCTACCATTTTCGATTTCTGCAGTCAAATGCAATAACTCCATTTTCATCTGGTTCCCATTTAATTCCTGTATTTAAAAAAAAAGATTAGATTACAGTATATCAGAATGTTCATATATGTGTCTCTGCTACTGCTGAATGTAGTATTTAAATTTTTATAATATGTTACTGATTGAGCAGGCATGCTTAAATGTCACATACAAAGAACTATAGAAGTTGCTGGTCCCTCTGGTAGCTAACGCTGGGCAAATTACTTTAACAAAACAGGACCATGAGAAACACAATCATCTTTCCCCACCCCCATTTGTTACATTTCAGCCCACTGCAGGGTGAGGACCTCTTCACCACTGTTCTATTCATCACAGTAAAGAATGTTGCCGGAGCCTTGCTATGCTTAGGCATGGCTGTTGGCAAAAGTGTGATGATGCTAATCAAGTTCATTTCCCCACCCATCTTACTACCAGAGCTGAACTTGCCAAGGAGTGTCATGCTTGACAGCATCACGCACTGGTTGTGTTTCAGACATTTTGCCACAGACCCCTTGACTGTGATGAGGTAATGTCTCTGACCCATGGGTCAGAGAAAGTTTAGTAGTACCTTTAAAAAAAAAGGATACAGACAGTCCAGTTGCTCCCTGTTTTTAAATCAAGATACTTCTGGGCTTGTATTCAATCCCTACCACATTAAAAGATCTTAAAATAACCATGCTAGTATTTCCACTATTACTATGTGAACAATCCTAATGCCGAAATTATAATTTAAAAAAGCCTAGAGAGAGATGTGTTAGTCGCCTGCCAACCACATAGACATATGTACAACATTGAAGATTTTAGGCTCAAGAAAACAGCCGCTAACCAATTAACCAGTTTTACTTCGGGTCTGAGCTTGAATTAGGGAAGTTAATGGGAGCTTTGGCATTGACATTAAATGGAACAGGATCTCGTGCTATGTAAGGGCAGAGCACTATGTAAAAGCCAGTCCACTGTATTCTGTTGGAGTTAAATGAGTATTAATCAATGTATATTTAAAACAATCCTTTGAAAAAAATCAGATGGCATTCAACAGAAAATACCAAGAAAGTGCAAAATAAAAACAAGGAATGAGTGACGAGAAAATACAGCATCTGTGGACAGAGCAGAATATCTAAGCAGAATACTATCTGAATTATCTCAAAGGTGAATTGTCTTATTTTATCTTCTCATACTACTTCAGGTTAAGACATTACTTATTTTTTGTGCCTCATGTAATTATTTTCACGTAGAAAGTTAGCCAGAGACACAGAAATATCCCTGGACACCCCTACATATTTTTAGTGCCTTGAAACTTAGTGACATTTTTCATGCCTTAGAGCAATGGCAATTCTCCTTTCTATTAACCAATTGAGAAGGTGTTTGAACCCATGTCATCTTATATAGGAAGACGAACATGATTTCTAGTATTCTGCTTTATTGTGTCCCATGTTTATTTCAGGCCAGGGACAAATGAGTCCCACAGAACCTGGGAGAGGCTCCATTTGTGTCATATGAATGAGGAAATTAGCAGCAAGGAAAATGCTAATTTAATGTAGCATAAAAAGAAAGATGTGTAGTAATTACTTTTACTTACACCAAGACTATGAAATAGCTCTACTACTCCAAAATTACGCTTTTTACATTACTGTTAGCCAAGTTCTATTTCTACACTTGCCATGTTGGTATAACTTCTCCCTCAAGCCACCTTTTCATAATTCCCAAGCAAAATTAAAATGTCCCTTTTATTAAAAATTCAAATCCAGCAGAATTAAATAATATCTCATATGATACAGCACTATGCAGAAAAATGCCCCAAGGGTTTTCCTGTTCTTACCAAGAATCATGAGTATACCTATTAATTCCGCAGCGCTCCCCACCCCCATTTGTTATGCGTGTGCTAGCATGCATAAATATACGGCGTTTGCCAGAACCAGTGATGTCTCACCCAGGCCCATCCTAATGAGGGCCCAGTTGCCCAGGGGCCCAGTGATTCAAAGGGGCCCAAGGCTCTGGATGCTGCCAAAGTAGCAGCTAGAGACCTGGGTCCTTTAAATCACAGTTGGAGTAGGGATGGTGTAGACGGAGCTTGATCCTGCCTTGAGGGCGGGGGGCTGGACTCGATGACCTCTCGAGGTCCCTTCCAGTCCTATTATTCTATGATTCTATGCCAGGGGTCCAGTATTGACCCAGACAGTCCACTATTTTTGCATACACTCAAACTCTGCCCCAGAGTGACACACACACTTATTACAATATGTTCCCACAAAGATACTACAGGGTTTTGCACTACCTGTCAAACCAAAATTGGGTACCTGTACAAAAGCAAGTGACAGTATATTTGCCATTGAATAATTCCCAATTTTTTCACAATTACAAATATTAATTGGGGGGGAAGAGGATAAATAATCATAGCTCTTGCTTTTATCAGAACAGCTCTTCCTTGAAAACTCTTAATTAATACATACTACTAATCTGTGAGTGCTTGTAAAAATTAGCACCTGTAACACTACATTTTTCACGGAAACCTCTTCATTTTAATTTAATTAGAATGCTTACCTGGATACTGTCTAAAAAATCCTTTTGCACTTCCAAAATACTGCCATATGAGAGAAGGATCACGGTCAAAGTTATCAACAAACACCTTGTTTAAGGATTCTGACCAAAAGACTCCATTTACAATTGCTGGATCTGAAAAAAATGAAAAAAAAGTGATGGTGAGTTGATAGAATTCTCTGGACCATATCATCATTGGCTGATTTAGTATCTAAAACCATTGGACTGCAATTTGTATCTCATAAGTCAAGTGTACTCTATGGGTGGCTCCTGTGAAGTCCTGAGTTTAAGTGAATAATTCTCCAGGACTTTTTGAATCTCTGTACCAATTACCTTGATGTGTATGGGCCTCTGAGAACAATTTTCCCATCCTTCATTCTCAGCATTCAGGAGCTGAGACACTAAACACATCTGCTCCAAAGAGAGAGAAACCTTCCTTCAGTAGGCAAGAAAGAAGGGTGAGAGGGAAATGAACTTCCCAATCAAGCTAGCCCTCTAAGATCTAATAGGACTTGGAAAGATGGGTGCAATGACATGATACACCATAAACAGACAATGGTTTTAAGTCACAATGATACAATATTAGCATGTATTAATGCAACATGATAATGTAAATATTGGATAAAGTGGCAGAAAGTCATGATATGATTATTTTTTGTCTCTGATGCTACATTTCTGAATGAAGGTGCTTTGAAGCTGTTGTAGTCTATTTAAAAACGATTTCAACAGGATTTATGTATTTTACTTAGTAGAAATATATACATAGATGCAGATGATACACAGAGTAGTGATGTATATATTGAAAGCATTCCATAATATATTTTATAGGTGAGAGTAAAACTGCTAATTATAACACAACAGGAATGATCACATCACTTTTAATGAATGAGTGTACTGTAAGGCTATGTCTACACTGGTGCGATCTTGCGCCAGAGTCATGCAAATGAGGCTAAGCGTGGAATATTGCTGAGCCTAATTTGCATATCTAATGAGCTGCCATTTTTGCGGAAGAGGCTCTTGTGCAAGAAGGAGCTGTCTACACTGTCCCTTTTTGCACAAGAAAAACCCTCTTGCGCAATGCCGTTATTCCTGAAAATAATCAGCGTAACAGCATTGCGCAAGAGGGTTTTTCTTGTGCAAGAAGGGGTAGTGTAGACAGCTCCTTCTTGCGCAAGAGCCTTTTGCGCAAAATGGCGGCTCATTAGATATGCAAATGAGGTTCGGGAATATTAGAACATAAGAACGGCCGTACTGGATCAGACCAAAGGTCCATCTAGCCCAGTATCCTGTCTACCGACAGTGGCCAGCACCAGGTGCCCCAGAGAGGGTGGACCGAAGACAATGATCAAGCGATTTGTCTCCTGCCATCCCTCTCCAGCCTCTGACAAACAGAGGCCAAGGACACCATTTTATCCCCTGGCTAATAGCCTTTTATGGACCTAACCTCCATGAATTTATCCAGCTTCTCTTTAAACTCTATTATAGTCTTAGCCTTCACAGCCTCCTCTGGCATATTCCATGCCTAGCCCCATTTTCATAGCTCTGGCTCAAGATCATGCCAGTGTAGACATAGCCTAAGAGTGTTACATACAGGCTGACGCTCTGTAAACCAAGACTTTCTGGTCTGGCAACATCCATGGTTCAGAAGGACCACAGATGTTCCAGGACAAGAGTTTCCTAGTGGAGGGCTGGTGGCTGGCCTCTCTGCAGATAGGTTGGCCAGTTCCCTACAGCTGGGCTGCCCGGAAGGGCTGTCGTCCAGCACACAGGAGCGGGGCTGCCTGGTCTGGGGTAGGGTAGGGAGCCCAGCACACTGGGAGATGGGCTGGAGCTGGGCTTCCTGGCTTAGCAGGGGAGGGGGCACAGGAACCAGTGGAGGAGGCAGCAGGGGGTGGTGAGCCAGCTGAGAGACCGGTGACCAGTTCAGAGCTGGGGGGTGGAGGGGGGAGGAGCAGTAGCAGGGGGACCAAATATGACCTCCCCTGGACCAGCAAAATCCCTCCTCTGGGACCAGTCAGGTCCTGAGGGTTCTGGTCCAGAGAGTCCAACCTGTAGATTATTCATTATCTTAACCCATAATGTAATCAAGGCTCAGGATTTTTCATGATGTCCTGTATGAATATGTTTTGCAATTACAATGATCATTTTAACTGTGTATTAAACGTTTTTTTGTGGGGATAACAAAAGTCTATCTCACCACATTGTGACCTATAACGTACTCTCACACATCAACACTCTTTTCTTTGCTAATTTTTTTAGAGGAAGACCCTCTGAATAACAGTTGTTGGTTTTTTACTACAATGGAGTCTAATTTGTGTTTTACTTGATTTTTTATTCCAAGAAACAGCATAGTATATGAAAACATACTAAAACTCTACATGTGAAAACCAATTATTTCTATGATGCTTTTTTCTTTTAATACAATATAGTGACATCTAAGGTACCCTAGTATATTTGTATGTAATCAAGTGGTTATTTGTTATAAAAATGACAAAGCAAAATTGATTATCTTGGAAGTCAAGGTTTTTGCCCTAGATATTAATTGTGATTGTGAAATGCAACATGTTAAAGAAAGATGCTCTGTATTATCAATAAAACCTGCACCTAAAAGCAACAGTTTCAAAAAGAAAGCTAACTTAAAATCTCAGTTGTAGTATTTTTTAAAAGCATGAACACACACAACTTGTTCAAGTCTTTGAAATAACATTTCCACTAGAAAAACAAAGCTAACTTAAATCAGAGCTGTAATTTTTTTTTAAAAGCAGCACATACATCAAGTATTTCAAATAATGCTTCCACAGACTTGTAAAATAATGGCACTCTGCATTGATTTCAGAAGATTGCTTAGAATGTGATTTTAATGGAGTGGAAAAAAGGTGAATTGTTTTCTATCCTTACATTCATCAAAGAAAAACACCAGGGGAAAAATGGAAATGTCTCAGTTACACATCTTTGAACTCTGCATTCATCTAAATATTTAGGTTTATATAGATGGGCTGTTGAAAAACTAAGCTCAACAAAGCAGATTTTGTTTTAAAAACATGTCTAGTGCAGTTAAATTTAGTCCTAGGAAATGAATTTATTTTATATATATATAAAAACCTGTCAAACTAGAGATATACCAAACAGAAATTTGAACTCACGCCAACAAATCTACTATATGAAAGTAAACGCATGTCACTATACAATTTTGGTGTTGCCTAAAGGTCACTACTGTGAACTGCAGAAAACCTCAGGTGTTTGCTAGTATACACTTATTCCAGTAAGTTTCCCTGAAACACTGTGACCTGAAATTCAGGATCATTCTTGCCTCACTCTAACCTACAAAAATAAAACATTAATTTGTAAAAATATGAGTCTAATCTAACAAGAAAGCAAACCTTGTGTTCAGTCCTAATGCTACTTTTAGTGACTAGATGACAATAGTGACATGTTAAAATCTCAGACATGTTCTCACTCTGCCATACAGTCGAACACTAGTTTGTATATCATGATTCTAGTTCCACTGTAACCATACTGGCTCTGTTGAAGGAACCAGACTACTATTAAACCACACAGCTGATTCAATGATTCATTGCAGCAGTAGTATAGCTAAGGTGGTCAGCAGTGCAAATCTCCCTTGAAATACAAAAATTTTTTCCAGGTACTTTAGGGTTTATTTCCTTTTCTCAGATCACTGTAAGGGAGATCTCCTCTTCAGAAGGCATACAAAGCACCTGCGCTCAACTTGGCACCTGAGCCCGTTCATGATCCTTCCTTCAACAGCAAGAACTAATACCAATCTGGTGTTGCACCTCAGTGTTGTTTATGACTTTTAATTTTAAAGGCATTCTGGGGCTTCTCCACAATTTACATCCAGGATTTCATGCCAAAAATATGATATCATACAATCTCAATGGTTCACAAGATTTCTTTTATTGTCCATGCCTCAGAGACCCCACATCTTATTGTTTGTCTCCACCCTGTCCCAAAGGTTCCACATCACACCACCACTCAGTCCAGTAAAATAACTCAACACAACTTCATTTGGAGTCCATATGAGCTCAGGCTCCACACACAGGAAGCCATTTTCTGGCCACCGGACAAGTTAACGAGGCGAAAAGGTTCAGTGTTATAGAGCTTGAACCTCTCTAGTCCAGCACACTCAGGACGTAACCAATGCCAAACCAGAGAATTTGCTGAAACATGGGATATCAGAATTGTAGTGTGCGGGTCTCTTCTTATTTTTATTTTGCTGAGGTGAATAAATGGAATAATGCTTGCAATGCTGCTTAATATGACTGGACTGATACACACTATAAAAGCCTATGCCTCGCCAAGGCTTATCAGCTCTCTTAATAACAACATTTTACTATATTGGCACAAGGATATCAGTAGATAAAGCATAACAATATGCTTATGCTGGGCGCTGAGAAGACATGTAGAGATAAATCATAGATAAATAACAGCACAGAACACTGAAAGCCAGGACTGGCAGCTATAAACAAACTTTACAGGGCAGCCACTCCACCAATAAGCTGACATTCAGGAAACTAAAAATCATGTCGGACCACAGATGTCACTGGACCAGAGAGGTTCAACGTAAAGTATGGAAACCCTGAGAATAACTACAGGTTGGACCTCCCTAGTCCGGCACGGTGGGGACCTGACCAGCCCTGAACAACAGAATTTGCTGGACCAGGGGAGGTGTCCCCTGCCACAGGCCCCGTGCCAGCCAGCCCCCTTGCCCTCTCCCAACTCTGCTCCCACTGGCCGTGGCCTCAGGCTGCTTTTGGCAACCAGGGTTCTCTAGCCCTGGCCCGTGTTGCTGTGTGCAGCTGTATTTCCCCAGCCCTGCGCTGCCATGGGCAGCTGAGCTTCTCCAGTCCCCAACCCCGCACTGCCACTGGCTGTTGGGGTT